TAATGGTCTTTCCATTTCAAATAAATACTTGTGCCCAGAAATCTTAATTCTATTTATTTATCCTGAGGAAATAATCAGGATATGGGAAAAGGATATATATAAGATATTCACTGAGGTTTTGCTTATATTGGTACAAAAATTAAAAACAGCCTAAAAGTATACTAATAAAAGCTTATTGACTAAATTATAGTAGAATCTCTACAATGGAAATTTCCTTAGGAATTAAAAATGCTGCAGTAGTAGAATATGTAGTGGTTGTACATGTTTATGATGTTCATAAAATATTAGGTAAAAGGAACAGATTATAAAACAACATACTATGTGATCACATTTTGGAAAAGTATATACAGAAAACAAACTGAAAAGATGCACATAAAATGTAAACAGTGGTTCTTTCTGGGTAGTAGGACTACACTGGACTTTATTTTCCTTGTGTGTGTGTCTTTCATACTTTCTTAATTTTCTATTACCACATAATGTTTATGAATGATTTGAGTGATTATGAAATAATTTTATGCAATTGCTTTTTAAGAAAGAAAAATAATATTTAAAAAAAAGTCTCACTGGCTAGGTGATCAGCTCTTTGAGGTCAGGGACTGTGAACAAATCTTTTTTTTAACCTCTAATACCACTGACTATTGTGTCTGGCAAACAAAAAGATGTCAATTAATACTTCTCAAAATGAAATCGTAATACTTCAAACAAAACCTGTAGGGCTAAAATAGGATGTTTATTATAAATATTTTCTCAGTGTGATTTCTTTCTTTCTTTTTAAGATTTTTATTTATTTATTTGACAGAGACAGAGACAGAGAGAGAGCACCAGCAAGGGGAGCGGGAGAGAGAGCACCAGCAAGGGGAGCGGGAGAGGGAGAAGCAGACTCCCCGCTGAGCAAGGAGCCTGATGCGGGGCTCAATCCCAGGACCTTGAGATCACTACCTGAGCCAAAGGCAGACGCTTAACTGATTGAGCCACCCAGGCGCCCTCAGTGTGATTTTTTAATAGGAAATTGTCAAGTTACTTCATTTCCCTCTAAAGTCACAATTTATTGCAGGTAATGGCATGGCACTGTTTTTAGTGCACCTAGTCTACTAATTATCTCTCCAACAAAAGGCTTGATCTATATACAGGAGTCATTTTCAGGGGCTGCACCCTGTTTTATGAGTATTACTATATTCTTAATAACAAAGTATGTACATTTTCTTGTAATCTAAAGACACAAACTGACATTGGGTTTAGATACATTTGAATTCAAATTTTGTAGGTGAGGGGCAAAAATTTCCAAGGATTATGCCATAGGTACTAAGTGGAAACATCTAACTACATGATAAAAAAAATTATAAAGATGTCAGATGTTCAAACTTGCCTTTTCCTTCAGATTAAGAGACAGATTTATTTAGACAGCTGAAATAGGACCCTGTAAGAGATGTTTTGTCTCCTTGACTATTCCCACAAGATTCTCAGAAAGGAATGAATAACCTAACTAATTGGATGTTTGACAGGGCCTGTATTAATTATATAAGTGATTTTTGTACATGATGTTCTTACATAATAACCTGCATAGTTTATGTGACTGTAAACAATATTGTTTTATTTTAAAGTTATCCAAAGAACTGTTCACCAGTGATGAATACAAGATATGATGGATCTTACAGAGGTACTTAAGTTTACTATCATGTGAATGCCTAACTAGCTTTGATTATACAAACTAAATGAGCTCAAGGATACTATGATAATAAAAGATACTAATAATATGTAATTTAAATATCCTGGGGAAAATACTTCACTGTTATGGTTGATTTAAAATATCTAATATGTAAAGATTTTTAAATATAGTACAAGTGGAAGAATTAAGGAGTGGGGTGTTTATAAGACCAAATAAGTATTTTGACTTGAAAGACTCTTTTCATTTGCTTTAGTTTTCCAATGTTTTCCTTGCTGCCAAAATCCTAACCTCTTTTGATTAATAAGATGCTAATCCCGTTGGGACACTTATGGCTCAATAAACTTGAATGCTGCCCATCCTGTAAGTCCCATAAAAGTGAACAGCTGTCACTGACTTCATGCTCTTGTGCATTATACTCCCTTTCCTTTTCTGTAACTATCAGGGTTTCCTGTTCTGTCTCCTGAGGAACCTCATAATGCAATATTTAGACCTCAATTTTATTTTGTCACGAAACAGTGCCTGAAGCTTAACTTAGTTGCTGTTTTTTCTTGTCATTTATTTCTGTCAAAATGAGTTCCTCTGAAATTATTTTCATCAAGAATTTTCATCTCAGGGTGCCTGGGTGGCCCAGTTGGTTAAGCGCCTGACTCTTGATTTTGGCTCGGTTCATGGTCTCAGGGTCGTGGGATTCAGCCCCATGTCAGCTCCATGCTCAGTGGGGAGTCTGCTTAAGATTCTCTCCTTCTCCCCTCCCCCCGCTCACTCGTGCTCTCTCTAAATAAATCAAAAAATCTTAAAATAATCTTAAAAAAATTTTACAAAATCTTAAAAAAATTTTTTTCATCTCATATTTTACCATCTGAGTTTGAATGATGATTTCCTTGAACTATTAAGGAAGTGGATTTTTTTTAAATTATTTACAGTATTTTCTACTAAGGATTGTACACAACTTCAGGAAATGACTTTATGAGAATATTTCAACAAATTTATGACATATTAAAAAATGAGAGCCCTGATGTTTCACCAAGGTATGTAACTGAATTTTATGGCAAAGCTAAAAATGACAGAACTAAGGCTATCATGGGAAGTAGAAGCTCTTAACCTCTAAGGTCAACTGGAGAGATTCACTGTGGCGTCTCTTTGTAGAGTAACTTGGAAATGCAATAGAAGGCCAAAGAGACCCAGGAGAATTCTCATATTTCCATCTGACTTCCTTCCTTCCTTCCTTCCTTCCCTTCTTTCCTTCCCTCCCTCCTTTTCTTTTTTCCTTCCTTCCTTCCTTTTTTTCTTTCTTTCTTTCTTTCTTTCTTTCTTTCTTTCTTTCTTTCTTTCTTCTTTTCTTCTTCTTTCTCTTTCTTTCTTTTTCTTTCGTTCTTTCTTTCTTTCTTCTTTTATTCCTTTCTTCCTTCGTGCCTTTCTTTTTTCTTTCTGATTTATTTATTGGGGAGGAGAGTGAGGGAGAGGGAGAATCTGAAGCTGACTCAGCACTGAGCACAGAGCCTCTCTCACAACTGTGAGATCATGACCTGAGCTGAAACCAAGAGTCAGATACTTAACTGAACCACCCATGTGACACGCTTCCGTAAATGAACATAAAAACCCCACTGGGAACATGTATGATAAAGAACACTGCCTTTATGTTTGGAGGGGTGGTAGAAATGCAGAGGCATGGCATCCGGAATGCTTTTTTCCATTGTGTGAACAAGTTTTCAGTATGTAATTATAAAGAAGCATTTGCTCCTGCCTTTATTATGTCTATTGCTGCATAAAAAAATTACACCCAAAACTTGATTTAAGATTTATCATCTCACAGATTCTGTGGGTCAGGAATCAATCTGGGTTCTTTGCTTCAGGGCCTCTTGAGTGGCTGCAATGGCAGGGGCTACTGTTGAGGCTTTCACTAGGGAGGATATGCTTCTACAATCACTCTTGTGGTTATCAGTAGGATTCAGTTCCTTGTGGGCTGTTGGCTGGAAGCCTTTCACAGCTTCTTGCTATGTGGGCCTCTCAAGAGGTGGTTCCATCAGGGTGAGCAAGTGAGAGATCGAGAGAAGCCCATCTTTTTACAACGTGACGTCCTGTCACTTCTGCTATATACTCACTAAAAGCTAGTCATTATGTCCCATGCACACCATAAGGGTGTACTACCAGGAAGTGAGATCAGGGAGCCCATCACATGCAAAATACATTCACATATTTCCCAGACTCCCAGAAGTCTCACTGCATTACAATATCAGCTTCAAGTCCAGAATCTTATCACTGAAATCAGGCCAGGGTGGGTGAGACTCCTCAGGTGTAATTCTTTAAGTACAGCTTCTGGAACCCCTCTCCATCTGTAGACCCAAGAACCTAATGGGACAAGTCCACTCCCGACATACCATAATAAAGCAGGCATAGGAGACCTTCAATAAGACATTCCTGTTCATGAAGGGAAAATGGAGACTCAGAGGAGTCCCTACGTCCAGCCCACATGCAAGGGGAGGGGATTGTGCAAGGGCGTGAAAACCAGGAGTGGGAGGGGTCACTGGCGGCCATCTTAAAGGCTGCTTACCATACTGTAATAATAAAAGAAGTAAAATTTAAGAGCAGTATTTTATGAAGCATGAGGTGCAGCTGAGTTTTCAATATATATTGCATTCCTGTGAGTTTATATTGCATTTTTTCCTTTGGCTCAGGGTAAAAATTGTTTTGCATTACAAGGATATTGGAGGAAATTGCTTAAAAATTCTGTCTCCTTCTATCATGGCTATAGATCTGATCACTGACTCTTAACATTGTTTAATTCTCCAAAAATTCTCAAAATGTTTTCCTAAGGTTTAATATAGCATCTGCTATAGCTCCATACTTATTCCTCAAGCTGCATTCTGTATTTCTTCTTCAATTTATCAATACATTGATTGCATTTGCATAACATTCAAATTACATCCCTTGGTGAAACATCAGTCTCTACTTTGAATATGAGAGCTGTTCTGGCTTCTTCTTTACACTACTGAGTGAACTAGAGAAATAACTTTTCCACTTCTTTTCTCTATACTGCTTAGTTACTATATAATTTTTTTTCCCTAATCACACATTTCTTTGAAATAACACAAATGAAGAAATGTGATACAAACTAGAAATTATAGGTAAGTCAGGTTCTACATCAGTTACTTAAACCCTGAATGATAGTGCCTCAGGTAAAGAACATCAAAATTTTATTAAATGTGCAGTTTGAGTACTTCTCTTAATTGAGCAATATATGTTGGGTGCTTTGTGATACTTTGGAATCTAATTGTACACTTTAAACATGTATAAATACTAGTAAAAAGTATCTATAATAAGCATATCCAAACCAGAGCATAGGTTAGGAAATTTTTTTTATTTCTGTATATTCTTTAATGATGTCAAAATAATAAAAATTTAGAGCAGTATACAGTGGCATCTGTGGAAACCCTAAGATAACTATAATATCTTTAATAATAATGCTTCATATTTTTAGTATTCTATGGTATTTCTATTTAAAAATCAGACTTTTTCCATTATATAAGTATCTCTATAATTTTATGAATAATCTATCCAAATATGCAGAACAGGCCTTTGGGAGAGAAAAAAAATACACTCAATATTTTTCTTAACTGACACCTGACTAGGTTTTTTTGTTTGTTTGTTTGTTTGTAATATAAATATGCTATGCTATCAGTTTTTATCTTCAATGATATATGAAAGATCCAAAATCAAATTGGCTGTCTCCACAGCCACCTGCAGGCCACTGAGCTTAGCAGTAAAACAGTCCAAGGTCAGGTTGTTGGCTGAGCCCGTAGCTTCTTCATGTGGAAGGCAAGTTTGTGGTGCAAAGGGATGCCGAGTAGTCTTCAAGAAAGACCAGTGGAGTTCTTCCTGGCTATTGTATAGTCCACAGCCACATCTTGAAAGCAAATCTGGCCAGTTAACAACAGAGGGAGACTCTGCCTGAGTGGACCAAAAGTGTCCATACTTCATGTCAGTAAGAACTTCACCTCCATCATGTTCCAAAGAGCCAGCGACAGATTCTAATGCACTGCAGAATGCTTCAGTGATTAGTTGAAGTTCTGTTTCAGTACATCCATCATCTTTGAGAATGCTTTCTGGCTCGTTACAAATCTAAAGAGTAATAAAACCATTGAAAACACATACAGAGCAATATTATAAAAATGTTTCTTAAAGATAAAATACTTGATCAGACCCTTATCATAATGTTACTATTTATGTTCAATATCCTTAGGGGTTCAGCACGATGCTAATGGGCAAATATGGGTCAGCTGGCCAGGCTATTATCCCTTAATTGGGTTGGTTATAGTATAAATATATGCTAGTCATGTTATCAGAATGAATGAATCAGAATAAACCCCATCAACAGCTTACTCTGAATGACTGCCCAGTTGTGCCTCCTCAATATTTGGTGGACAAGGCATAATGCATATATCACAGGTTTTTATACACACAGGAGGAGGTTCCTGAAGGCTAATGTCCAAATACTGTACTTATTTATAGTTGGCAAAGTGTTTGAGATTTGTTTAAAATGAGAACACACATAATTATTAAGACAAAAGCCATTTTGGGACATGTGTAATTTTCACAGCAATGTTTTAAAAATAAGTAATCTCTTTAATTAATGAAAAAGTAATATAATTTTAAACTTTTTTTTTGGTTCCACCATTCTAAAAAAGTTTCTCCTAGGGGCACCTGGGTGGCTCAGTTGGTTAAGCGTCTGCCTTCGGCTCAGGTCATGATCTCAGGGTCCTGGGATCGAGCCCCACGTAGGGCTCTTTGCTCAGCAGGAAGTCTCCTTCTCCCTCTGTGTTCTCTTTCTCTCTCTCAAATAAATAAATGGAATATTTATAAATAAATATAAATAAAAAAGTTTCTCCTAGCAATTTCACTATAGAAAAATAATATATTAGCAAGCTAATAACTGAATGATAGTTAAAACCCATATCCAAACTATTCCAAAGCAGTGGCTGCTTTTTTTTTCTGCCCAGGAGGTGTGAACCAGATGAGACCATCTATGCTGCCTGTTCTTTCCCCATATTTTCAATGCTATATTGTTTCTTCAAAATCCTCTCATAAAACCTTCCTCCTCCAAAAAACTTTTCCAGTTTACTTAATTCCATTTGCAGACTATATTATTGTGTATTCAGCATCATACATGGGCACTGATTTTGTTTTTCATAATGTATATTCTGATCACTTTTCATGAATGGGCTTTATCATCCAATAGATTTTAAATCATTTTGGGAAAAAGGGTGGGGCATATCTGTAAAAAAAAGTTCACTCTTTCTCTAAATCTAGTCAGCCACTGGAAGCTCTGCAGTCTCTCTCTCTTTTTCATTTTTAAAGTTCAGTGCAGGGCTTGAACTCACAACTCTGAGATCAAGACCTGCGCTGAGGTCAAGAGTCAGATGTCCAACTGACTGAGCCACTCAGGCGCTCTCTGCAGTCTCGATAACACTCCTGACTAACCAAAGAATCAGTTGCAAATATCTGGAAAACACATACCTTTTTGTATCCATTTTCAAAGAAAATAGGTCAGTATTTATGAAATAATCAGAACTAAAATGCACTAAATTTATCTATTATCAGGAATATAGTTTCCTAAATGAATAAAAAAACATTCTATTGGATAGAAGTCATAACATAAATAGATACCAATTTAAAAATTATAATAGAATCTAATACTTGGAATGCATTATTAAATGAAACTAAGTCTTTTCTTGATAGACCAGAAGGTACTGAAGTATTCTGTAGAATCTTAACACTTTCATTATGACTATCAATTATGATCATACCACAGCAGTTGAAATCTCTAATACAACTTCCATTAACAGAATGCTTATTTCAATATGCAATATTTCAGCAATACTCAAAGAATGTGATCATTTGGTGAAAGGATGGATTAATAATAATCATGGTGATAAAGCTATTACCTTATATTTGCAACTGTTATTTTCCTCAAGTGTTTTCAAATACAAAATTGGAGTCAGACTACTGAGAAATTAAGCATTAAAGGCTCCAAGGTCATGTTACCCTGGTTTGGTTTATTATCTCATAAAACAAATGTCGCTGAGAATTCAGATAATCTGAGCAGGTCCATCTAACTTACCTTGTGTCTGATATATGCTGCCAAATGAGTTTCAGTACAGCCACCTCCCAACAAAACACTGGGTTCCTTGATTGTCAACTGCAAAGCATGCAGTGCGGTTTGACATGTGAGCTAAAAAAAGAGGCGAATCATCAGAATTAGCCATTGACATCAGATTACAAAGAAATATAACCATGTTTTCAAGGGACCTTAGATAGCAGACTCAAAGAGCTGGATTTTAATTGCAAAAGAACAAAGCTTGTGTTGCCAAGGTTGTAATGTAATGAATACATTTTGGAATAATAAAGATTAGAGATTAAAGAAAAATATTTTAGCCAGATGTTTGTTTCCATGGACCAGATTAATATCAACTTTCATATGCACTTAGCTCTTCAAACTGAGATTCACAAATGGATGGCCTCAAAATAACTGGGTCACCAAGGTTTGCTAGTATTTCTACTAAAAAAAATTATTTGTCTAAATAAATTAGCTGTATACATGCTACAGAATTTCTTGCAAGTTGCTATGGAAGTAATAACAGCTACAACCCAGTAGTAATAAAAAGAATAACATAGGGACCTTTCATATTTATCAAGGATATATCCTTGTGTATATATAATCTTTAAGTTCGTGACCAATAATAGGTTATCACTTCCCTTATATAAGTTGCATGTGTTATTGCTGGTAGAAGACAACAAACTCTATCAAGAGGTGGATGATGGGTATGGCTGGGGAATTCATTTTTCTCAGTGAATTATTCATACACATTAGCATCAAAGAGTACACAGTTCAAGTGAATTGCTAAGAAAAGTTCACATGTCAAGGACCTTTAGATTGCGTGTAAATACCAGAAATAACTGGTAGTGCTCGCCGAGTCTACTGTAATATCACAGGCAAATAAATTTGCTTACTTGTGACTTTCTGTCATTTTTGTTGTTTTTGCTTTCTAAATCATCTGGGAAAGTTATGAAAAACAAAATACATAGCTCACCTGTATGAAAAATTCTATTGTGTCTGACTATCTAATCCCAGCATTCGGAGTCTGTGACCTACCTTCAGCTCGTCCCAAGCAGTGTCGTTTCTGCTGCAGAGCAGCAAGCTGCAGATAGTTGCTTCATTAGGAATAAGATGAAGAAAATGTTTGAAGCCAAATTTTGCAGGGCACAAATCTTTCACTCTTCCATAACTACTAGGAGAGATTGAGCCTAGCGAACCAATAGGCGGTGTTCCTGTTTTTTTAGTTTAGAAAACACAAAACATATGAGTAAAGATGGAACATCCAGTCATTAAAACTGATTCCTAGCCAATATAAAAGTCCCAGACACATACACTTTAAAACATGAAATATAGAATAAATAAGATGCTTCTAAAACCTATAAAATAAGTAGTATTCTGCTATTAAGATGATATAGAAATAAAGCAAAGCAGAGGTTCTTTTGGTTTACAGACTTCTTTGAACATCTGTTAGGAGCTATTTTATACTCTCTAGAAAAAGGCTCACAAAAAATGTGCATACATTTTCTGGGAGCTTAAAAAATTTGCAAGAACCCAGAAAATAATCACTGAACAATTAGGCTTCTTTGAATATTCTTTCTTCTGAAGCCTCAGAGTAAGGAATACTTGAGTAATCTGAAATGTAAGGATTAAAAAAACAAAACAAAACACCTACAGGATGTGTTACTTCACTTGGTGAACGCAACAGAGAGGGTCTGGCTCTACTGCTTATGAGCCACTGGACATGAAGCAAGTCACTCATATCATTTAACTTTTCTGGGTGGGCCTCCCCATAGGAGAATAAAATGGGGATAATAATGTCTGCTTCACAAATAAAGCAAATCAAATGTTCAATGCTCTGTATGCCATGACGAACTTCAAACACACCAGTGGCCCATGCACAATAACCCCACTACTTAATCCAGACCAATAAAGAGGAATTTTGTCTGAAAGGGGGAGAAAGGAGGTAATGTTAACCTAGATACACTAGGGAGGGTGGAGAACATAGTTTGCCTAAGCCATGGGCTTGGTATAATTATTTTTTCCCCTTCCTTTTTATCTCAAAAGGTCACTGCTCCCAAGATCCAGGACTAAAGTTCTGGCTATTTATACCATGTTCTAGTTATATGCAGGATAAGAATTGTGGGGGTCTAGAAACCCAGTGCCCACTTACACTATTGTTTCTATGGCAAAATGTTTCACATTTTAATTTTTTTAGAGAGGGAGAGAGTGAATCTTAAGCAGGCTCCATGCCCAGCACGGAGCCTGATGTGGGGCTTGATACCACAACCCCGAGACCATGACCTGAGCTGAAACCAAGAATTGGATGTGGATGCTTAACCGACTGAGCCACCCAGGCACCTGTTTCACATTTTTTTAAAAATTTTTATTTATTTACTTATTTAATTATGTTATGTTAATCACTATACATGGTGGCATCACAATTCCGGACTCCAAGCTCTATTACAAAGCTGTCATCATCAAGACAGTATGGTTCTGGCACAAAAACAGACACATAGATCAATGGAACAGAAAAGAGAGCCCAGAAATGGACCCTCAACTCTATGGTCAACTAATCTTTGACAAAGCAGGAAAGAATGTCCAATGGAAAAAAGACAGTCTCTTCAACAAATGGTGTTGGGAAAATTGGACAGCCACGTGCAGAAGAATGAAACTGGACCATTTCCTTACACCACACACAAAACTAGACTCAAAATGGTTGAAAGACCTAAATGTGAGACAGGAGTCCATCAAAATCCTAAAGGAGAACACAGGCAGCAGCCTCCTGTTTTGTCACATTTTAAAAACTAAATAATCTGTAATACCCAAATATTCACAACTGGAGAAGTCATGAAAAACCAGTAAATATTTAAAACTATGGGTCTGATCCAGAACAGCAACAGGAGTTCCATGGAACTATTTCATTATTTCATAATAATTTCCACTTTGACAATCATGGGACAGCCTTAGAGAGACAGGGCAATAACCCAGATATTAGGTATTCAATACTGGCATATGTACTACTACTTTTCGATGATTTATAACAACACTAAAAATAGTGAACTTTAACAATGGCTTAAGTCTGATAAATGTTGCAATCAATCGGAATAGAATGACTGGTATGTTGTCAATGCAATTAAAAGGATATTAAAAGTGGCTCAAATGAACTCTTTACATTGTCAGTTTCTTTGGCTGTAATAGGTGAATATCAGCCTTATGTCTGATTTTAGTTTGTAAAATACAGTGAATTTCTTGCCTGTTACAATTCTGTATCTTACCAAATATTAGTCAGTTCAACAAACGTTTTAGAACACATACTGTGGACCAGGCCTGTTGTCAGTGCTAAATATAAAAGATAATCCCGATTCTTAAGGAGCTCAGCTGGAAATATCTGGGATATTTAAAGGCAGCGCGCATGTGTGCATGCACACATTCACCCACCTACCCACCCCTAATTAGGAATTACTATTTAGGCAGTACAGTAGTGAAGAAGTAGAGAGTGAAGAAAAGAATATTTTAGCTGCAAAATTACCTTCTGAATATAATGTGATTTTTACTTGTAAAATTCAAGTAGAAGAATTTTGTGTAAAGCATGAAAGACCTTAGGATTATGAGGCTGTTAAACGCAGTACTCTAAGATGTTTGGGGGGTTAATGGTTTTAGATTATAATAGACCCTAGTCTTTTCTGGGGCTGGAAAATACATAGAAATTGCCATAATCACTCAAGTTTTAGTAAATGAACAGTACAGGGTGTTTCTGAGAAGCCACCTTTGCTGGCAGAAATGATACACATGCTGCAAGGTTGGCAGCTTCTAAAATTTTTCAAGATGTTAACAGTGACACACACCAAGAATGTCTCCGCTCAAAAAAAGAGTGTGATTTATTAACTATAAGGGGCAAAAGCTGAAGGTGCTTTTTACCTGTCACTTTACTCAGGGGTTCCATCAGAGCCACTCCAACTCTGTCTACAGCAATTACACGGTGCATACTGAGAAACTGTTTTAAGGATGGGTGTATAACTTTTTGGCACATGACAAGATCTACGTGATCACTAACTAGCTGCCTTCCTAGGTTAAGCAACTGCTCCAGGGCTGCATTTTCAAGAGAGACCCTGGAACTGACCACCACAGTTCCTTCTCCAGTATCAGAGAGATCTCCAGATAAAGAAGCACAAAAGAGTGCCACCTTGAAGGCATCTGATTTTTTGATAGGTAAGATCTTCATCAATTGAACTTCTGACATTTCAAGAAGTATTCCAGGGAATACAGAAGAATCTAGAACTCTTTGACCTTTTGAAGGCACAATTATACTCTTTCCTAAAATGAGGTGGTCTTTGGCGTTGTCTGGAATTGTAAGCAAAAAGGCTCTCAGAACCAAAGCACTGATATGGTCTGTTTCCTCTCTGGTGAGCATGCTGGCGGGTTTACTTGTTACTATACTGCGCACCAAACAAAGGAGGGTCTGAGGCCTGCTAAAGTCAACTAGAATTCGACAACCACAGGACTCGGACTTGAGGTAACTGGTGCAGAGGTGTAAAAGTTGCTGGTTTAATTTAATAACAGTGGTGGGTGTCAAGCCTGTTCTCTGAAGGTTTTCAATCAGATTGCAGCAAAGAATGGCTGTGAATAAGCCACAGTCACTGAAACACGACACATGATTCTGCATGGATGTTGTCAGGATCTTTAAAATGGGATGGGTGACAGGAAGATTGGAGAGGAGGGCCGACGAATGTGAGGTGGTGCACACACAGCCTCCAAGGCCATTGTGCACCTGCTTCAGCCTCCCCGAAGGGCCATAGCTGGATGTCAGGATTCCTTTCAAGACACAAAGTGTGGCCCTGACTCTCTCACTTGTCAGTGGTTCACTTTTACACAACGATGGCTTTTTAGCTTCTAAACGAGACATCTTACTTACGGTTGCAAGTGGTGAAGACAGTTTTTATTTTGTTAGACATATTTTTCTATTTATTTCATGTCATTGGTCTTGACATTTAGAAAAAAAAAATTATCCTTCAAGAATGAAAGTCTTGAATATGCAGCACTGTGGCTTTAAAATTAAATAGCTCCAGGCTAATGAAGATAACTAGCACGTAATGACTTAGTGACATATTAGTAATTCCAAATATTTATTTTTATTTCATTCTTCAGTACTCTGTTGTTTGCCTCTAGGTTGAGCTTTTATAGATTGTTTTGCAGCCCTCTGTATAAAGTATGTTCCAAGATGGACACCTATGAAAGACACCCCAGCTACAAGAAGCCAGTTCTTTTCAATCCAGCTGGTGTTTTTCAACTCTTCTTTCAATATCAAGCTCAGATTCAAGGATGCTTCTTTCTGTAAGAAATAAAGGAAAAACATTTTAGAGAAATAAGTCCAAAACATTTAAAAGAATGCAGCTTAATATTTTGATGCTCTGCTCCCTCTTTAGGAAAAGGAATTACCAACTGGCACAAGCCTCCACAAAATGAGAAATGTAAATCCACTCAGACTAAACAGTGATTCCTTTATTCTTCAATGAATCCCTCCAAGAAAAAGTACTGATATTTGAATGATTTTGGAATGCAGAACAATATAGCTAGAAAGCTTACAGTACAGTTATTTGAATATGATATGCTTCTAGAAAAGAAATGCTACATTATAAAACTCATTATAAAATGCTGAGTCTTAAAAAAAAAATCCCAAATGTTTTTATTCTCTTACATCAAGATTTAATGTTATGTTTTCTTCTGTAACTTTGGTTTACTTGGAAAGCGTAGGTCTGAAAAAGATACATGTACATCAAATCCTGCTTAAAAATTATGAAATAAGAGAACTGTTAGTCTCCCTACTATAGACACACTCTGTATTGTATAGGCCATCTCTAGCTGTATAAATCTGTGTAGCACATTGTCCCAAAGAATAAACCATGTTTTCAATGTCTGGCTAACTTCAATGTAATTTTCTATAGCTTTATTCTATCAATCAACGATTGTCATTTTTAACGTCCTACAACTGAATCCTCTCCAAGACTTTGGTTAATGACAGTAAATATAAAAACCAGGGGATATGCTATTTGACAAAGAGAAAAACAGGATCTGATTTGCAATTCGATCTCAAAAGGTCTAAATACCATAAAATGTAACAAGTGTGCTCATACTAGCTTTCTTAACAAGGTTGTAAATAAATAGTGTGCCTTGGGGCATAAAATCCTGACACTTTAATAATGTGTAGAAAAAATAAAAAATCTCAGGTCATGGACCTTATCTGTTGAAGTTAGGTACTTTGAAGGTGAAGGTTCAGTCAATTATTATTTTTAGGAATATGGTAATTATGCTAATTACTTGGACAGTATTCAGCATAAATAAAACTAAGTGGACTACCAGACCATAGTACTACCTGATGTAGACTATGGCATAGTGTGATACAGACCAAAAAGGTGATGGAAGAAGTGCAAAGAAGAGGTGAAGAGAGGGAGGGAATGTTATTCGAAGTGTTATTTTGGTTACCACTCCTCCCCATTTAAAGGACTGTAACCATGGCAACTGGGCCCAAATAAAGGGAAGGCAATGATGGCTAGTTTTCTCTCTGCAATAAAGCTATAGTCATCTTTGTTTTATAAGACGAGGAAAAAAATCTTTCATCTTATGCCAGGAACGGCCAAGGTACTTAAATATTATTTCAATGGTTATTTTAGATTCAGGAAAATCTGTGACATACATTTAAATGAAATCTTAGTGAAGTGACTTCCGTACATTATTTTACATGTTACAGCGCACAATCACACAAACCACAAATCATAACAGAAACTGTGATCAAGAAGATGATTTCTCCAGTTAAAAAAAAAAAAAAAGCATTTTCAATACCTAACAGTGACATGCAACTTTTCAAAAGTGGAATGTTAAGTCGGCACCTCTAACAGTCTTGTGGTAGTGAGACCAGTAACCACATCTTTTGGCTAGTATCTCTATAAAATGAGAAAGGAAGAAATCATTGAAAGTGTTGGTGACTCCCAAATCATTTTTAGATGTCGAAACTTGCCGACTTGTGGGTCTAGATCGAGACAAAACAAGGTACAATTGAAAGAAAAGAAATCAACCAAACACTGGGCTGGCTTACAGAATATGTTTGGAAGTGTCAGTTTAGATCTGTTAAGACTCTTTTTTCCTAACACTGTGACCCACAGTTCCAAAGGCTACCATCACATGAACGACTCTGACTTCCTGGATGCATAGGCCTGGCAGACGGGCTTTTGCAGTAATGGATAACCTAATTAAAATAATAGTAACACTTACATGACTGTATTCTAAATTTAGACACACACTATAAATTATGATTTAAAAAACTATAAACCATAATTTTCTCCTAAAAGGAACCAGGTTTCTTTGGAGAAATGGCTGATTCTAGGTCTGAGGCAAGAAATACACAAGATGAGGTGAGGACTTTTTTTTGCCAAAAAACGTACTTGGGTCATATCAAAGAGCACAGGAAAAAAACAGACACAGGAGTCAACTTGGAGGGCATCCAAGATGGTACAATTTGAGTCTTAAAAAGAATACGGGATAGTAATACCTTGAGATAACTCAAATAATTTGCAAACTCATGAATTCATATTGTCATCAAACCCAAAAACCCTCATTGCTATTAGGGCACTAACTCACTTTTATAAAAACTGATAGAAGAAATAAAGCAGTTCTCTTGCTTTTCCTGATAAATGCATTTTGAGGGGTAACTGAATAGCTGATGCGGGTAAGTTGTTCTAGCTCATAAATGGAGAAGGAATGATAGAATTTGAACAGCATCATCTTGCAACCCCTAAGGAAATAATGGATTAGACCTGAATTCATGGTGGTTGGCAAATTACAGCCCATGGGCCACATCTTGCCCACTGCCTATTTTTGTAAATAAAGTCTTATTGGCTCATGCTTATGTATCATGTATGAATGCTTCTGTGCTACAACAGAAAGTTGAGTAGTTGAAATAAGAGACTGTATGGTCTGCAAAGCCTAAAATATTTACTATCTGGTCATTTATAGAAAAAAAGTTTGCCAATGCCTAGATTAGAACAATGATCATAAATAATTTTTTTAGGGAGTGTGTAGGGGTAAAGGGAGAGGGAGAGAGGGAGAGAGAGAGAATCCCAAGCAGGCTCCATGCTCATCATGGAACCTGTCACAAGGCTCAATCCCACGACCCTGAGTTCATGACCTAAGCAGAAATCAAGAGTCAGACGCTTAACTGACTGAACCACCCAGGTGCCCAATCATAAATAAGTTTCATAACAGATTTTATAATGGAGAGATCAGACTGATAATGCACTTAAATCTTAGCAACACTGAAAGTGGATTAGACATTAAATGTGAAACAATGTGATTCACTAGGATGTATACTATAGCACATACATGAAGTATTCTTTTTCAAGAAGAAAAAAAACAAAGTAAATCAAAGCAGGCCTTCTGATCTAACTACCAGATTATAGGAGATATGGGAGAGCAAGAAACTTGTTAAATGACAAAATAAGGACTCAATCAACCAAATTCAGAATGTGGGATATTCAAAAACAAGCAGACTGGGAGGGGAAACGTAGTGGTTGAAAAGATCTATCTTTAAAATGCAACGTGTGGACCTTGTTTGGATTCCAATTCCAACAAACCACCTCTAAAGGAGATTTTTTTAAAGATAAATTTGGAAATATGAACATGGCCCTGGGTATCCAATGACAGGAGTTAGCATTAGTTTTTTCAGTGTGATAATGCACTTGTGGTTGTGTGTGTATTTATCCTTAATGTTAAAAATACACATTGAAGCCTGGGATTTGCTTTAAAATATTGTAGTAATCAAAAAGGGGGTGGAGACAGAAGGACAGATAAAAGAAGATGGGCAAAATGTTGTTAAGTGTTAAAGCTGGGTGATGGATACTAGAGAGTTGAATATACTATCCTCTCTTTATTTTGGGGTATGTTTGCAATTTTCAATAATAAAAAGTAAAAATTATGGGGTGGCTCAGTTGGTTAAGCATCTGACTTGATTTCAGCTCAGGTCATGATCTCAGGGTCCTGGGACTGAGCCCTGCGTTGGGCTCCATGGTCAGCAGGGAGTCTGCTTGTCTCCCTCTCCCCCTGCTTGCACCCTCTCTCTCTCTCTAAAATAAATAAATAAAGCTTTAAAAAAAGTAAAACTTAAAAAAATAGTAAGGGACAAATAACAGTACATTCTTTTGATAGAATCAGTGTTTAACTCACTCTAAATCTGGTTTTAACATTTGCTCACCCCAAAGTTGTTCTAGTATCTGTTTCTGCTTGATTGGCAGCGTTGGTCACTTAAGACTTCTAAATACTGCAGCACTGACATCCAAAATCTCTATTTTTACCTTAGTGTTTTAGAAAGATGCTTTCTTTTCTCAACTTTACTTTTTCTCTAGGAATACCTCAATAATATTCCTTGTATTTCTTTTCACAGAAGGAGAAACTACTTCCCTTTTTTTTTCAAAGTTTGGCTATAGCAGGGCCCCAAACTCTTACGAGAGGAATTAAAGGAAAAAAATGATGTCATAAGTAATATACCCACACACTATATATATATTGCACTATATATGTATTCTCTCTCCCTCTCTCTGCAGACACACACACACACACACACACACGCATTCTCTCTAACGATCTCATTACAGTCTAGAAAAGCTAAAATCAAGCATCTAATAAACTCCTTAACTCTCTGCTCATGTGCACTAAAACTCCCTTTATAAACACAAATCTTACACAGAATGTCTTAAGGTTACTCTTTTATGTTATTAAGCTTCTGATATTTTACTACCTGGCTTTTTATTATTAAATAATTGTCTAATACTTTAAGCCATGCTCTTCCCTTTCTCTTTAAGAGCTTTTAAAAATAAAATCTTGATTTTAAATAATGTAATCAGAAATTATAATTTTATCATAAATCAAAATCATAGACCTCTTAAGAATGAGGAAAATCTTACTGAGGTCTTCCTTCTGTAAGAAGCAGGCCCTAAACTGACCGCCTTATGCCAAAATTTAAAGCATACTATTACTCACCACGAGGTCAAAATGGTATATTAAGGTAGAAAATGCTCCACAATTATAGGGTCACAGTTCTCTGTCTGGGGGCAGATGAGTTTCATAATTCAGAATTTCTGGGATTTTAGAAAAATAATATAGTGTTTAGCACCCATTAATCAAACACAACAGTATTTCTGCAGTGAAACTAAATATTCATATTGAGTGGAATAGACTGCAAACTGCCTCGTGTTATTAAGGTCAAGTTTTGCTACCAAAGGAGTTATGACAAAATCTTTTGGATTTTAGAACTTTTGGATTTTGGAATTATAGTTAAGGGATTATAATCCTGAAGGATGTAACTATATTCTCTTATTTCAGTGACTCTCAAAAGTAACAGATTATTTTGAAGGTAAAATATTAGATACTAGGGGCGCCTGGGTGGCTCAGTTGGTTGAGTCTGCCTTCGGCTCAGGTCATGATCCCGGGGTCCTGGGACTGCACCCAGCATTGGGCTCCTCGCTCAGTGGGGAGTCTGCTGGAAGATTCTCTTTCTGCCCCTCCTCCTGCTTATGCTCGCTCTCTCTCAAATAAATAAAATTTAAAAAAATTAGATACTTAAAAAAATAGATACTAAAGATGGAATACAATTAGTTTTATTTGCCTTGGAAAGAAACAGAACAATAATAACAAAGGAGAGAACTTTTGCAAGTTATAGATTTGTATGCTCTGAGATGGATTTATGGCAGGTAGACAACTGCTCTTTTGGACACACTCATGATCCTGGTGACATTGTTAATGAAAAGGACAGGACAAGTAATGGACTGTCCTCCTTTCATCCAAATGACTCTGCGAGGCAGCTGTCAAAGGTCTCTATGGAACAAACTTTTCTAGAAGCAACTGCAGAATAATATTATGTCAGTGGGTCATAATAAAAACAACAGGTAACTTACCAACTTCAGCTTTTTCTTGCCAGGGCTCTAATTTTTAATTTTTTTAAAAAAGAGATTTATTTATTTATTTGTCAGAGAGAGAGAGAGCACGCAAGCACAAGCAGGGGGAGCAACAGGCTGAGTAAGAAGCAGGCTCCCGGCTGAGCAAGGAGCCTGATGCGGGACTCAGTCCCAGGATGCTGGGATCATGACCTGAGCTGAAGGCAGATGCTTAATCGACTTGAGCCATCCAGGTGCCCCTATACTTTTTTAAAGATTATATTTCCCATCGTTGTAACATACAATACCATTTGGTTAACCAGATTAAACTGAACTTACCTGAAGATTCCAAGCCTGCTATTTCCCTTCGATGTGATTCTTCTCAGGACATTCAAGTGCTGGACTATCTGGTGCAGAAACATTGTCCTTATTAGGCATTTGGAAAACAGGGCTGCTCTTGATTCTGTGCCATCCCAAATGTATGAACCCAACTAAAGGTACCATAACAATCAGAACTTTGTAGTTCCTCCAGAAGTTCTGAAAGCTCATAGTACTTCAGCATCAGTGCACCTAGGAAAAGGCCAACAGGTAAAGATGATAAGAACAAAACAACTCCCTCAAGTTACATCTATGAACTGCCACAAGTAAAATATTGCACTCTAATAAAAGTTGACTATTAAACATTTTTGGGTGCAATATAGTGTGATATTCATTAACAAAAAAGGATATGTTGTAGGCTCAAAGGGAGAGCAGGAAGTCAGGCTTCAGAAACTTATAAAACAATACAAACCTTTAAAGATTGTTAAAGGGGCCACATCACCTGCTAGAAAAGCTATATAAATCTTTGGAAATGCTCATGCATAGATATCATTTTCTTTATATAATTAATTATATATTCTCTGAGCCACAGTAAAATTAGATTTAAAAAATACATTTAGTCAGAATTTTAACAGAAGAATCAAATGGTAATCCTTAAATATGCAGTAAGAATTGAGATTCTGCATTCTGACATGTTAAGTGATGGTATTTCAACTGAGATTGGGACAGGCATGCAGGGATTCCAATTTTAACAGGTGAATACTGGCATGGACTCTGAGTTAGGATGAATTAATGCCATTTCTATTTATGTCCTGATGCACAAGATTTTAGTGTTTACACTTACTACTTTTTTTTTCCCCTAAAAATTTTATTCATTTATTTGACAGAGAGAGACACAGCGAGAGAGGGAACACAAGCAGGGGGAGTGGAAGAGGGAGAAGCAGGCTTCCCGCAGACTCTACCCTACAGGGTTTACTCTCTACCCAGTTTACATAGAGAAATTGGGGCTAGTAACCTGCCTGTAGTTACAAAGCTAGGTTGTATTAAAAAAGATTCCTTTCCTCTGTCTTTGGTCTGGAATGCATGGGATGTGGTCCAAGAAGTCTGTTTTTGATGATCTGTTGGGTTTGGGAACTCGAGTCTGGACAACCTCTAAAGACTAATTATATACTTTTTAATTTAAGAGACGCTCATTAGGCTTTAGTGATTAGCTTATAGGCTTGTGATGGTATGAATGGGCCCACTTTCAAAGTTCCTTTCTGAGCACAGAAAGACAATAAATACTGCTCCATCATCTATGGAATATACTAAGAATTAGGTTCAATAGCATATATATGAGTTTCAGTATCATGCAATCCATTATGTTACAATAATTTTGTATGAATGCCACTAGCAAAATGTCTGAACAGAACTTTTACTTCTTTTCCTTTTTTTTTTAAAGATTTTATTTATTTATTTGAGAGAATGAGAGAGAGAGAGAGAGCACATGAGAGGGGGGAGGGTCAGAGGGAGAAGCAGACTCCCCGCTGAGCAGGGAGCCCGATGTGGGACTCGACCCCAGGACTCCAGGATCATGACCCGAGCCAAAGGCAGTCGCCCAACCAACTGAGCCACCCAGGTGCCCATATTCTTTCCCTTTTAAGTCAAGATTAAAATCTACTGCTAATGAGTTAAACACCTTAACCATCTCAGTGTTCCATGTGTATGAGAAACTGAGGGTTCTAGAGGGGAGGGGGGTGGGGGGATGGGTTAGCCTGGTGATGGGTATTAAAGGGCACATATTTAATGGAGCACTGAGTGTTATAGGCAAACAATGAATCATGGAACACTACGTCAAAATCAATCAATCAATCAAAATATCATATGGCTTTGTGTATGTACATGATTAAAATTTACCCAAATGTTAAAAAAAAATAAACGGGGGACACATGGGTGGTTCAGTCAGCTGAGCATCCGACTCTTGATTTCCGCTCAGGTCATGATCTCAGGGTCGTGAGATCAGCCCTGTATAGGGCTCCCTGCTCAGTGGGGAGTCTGCTTGGGATTCTCTCTCTCCCTCCTAACCACCCCCGCTCTCACATGTGTTCTTTTTAAAATAAGTAAATCTTTAAAAAAAAAATAAACAGAAAGCTTAGAGTTATGCCTATGTACATATATCATTTCCAACATTAGAAACCTTTTCTCCCACTGTCCAAATTCACATTTTGTAAGGACTTTGTTGTAAAACTTGAACTACTAGACGGAAAAAAACAATGGCCTACTTTGTAACTGAAAGTATTTTTGCCTTTTTCCTGTTCTATTTTTTTTTTTTTTAAGATTTTATTTGTCAGAGCTCACATAAGCAGAAGGAGTGGGAGAGGGAGAAGCGGACTCCCCGCTGAGCAGGGAGTCCGATGCAGGACTCAATCCCAGGACTCTGGGACCATACCTGAGGTGAATGCAGACACCTGACTGAGACACCCAGGTGTCCCGCCTTTTTCCTATTCTAAAGTGCTCTTGTATCCTATGACTTTTTGCAACCTTTAGGGACTGTACCTTTTATGGACATACTTATGTTTTATCTTTGGAGAAAGCCAATCACAATTAACTGTATCATTAACTTTCATTGTGAAGCCCACTGTACAAAATGCCTTTGAGATTTGAGAATATGATAAAACCCTGGGTGATTTGGGAGTAATGAGGGAAGAATTATAGTAAGGATTACTTCATAGAGATAAAGGACAGAGGCTATACCAGTTAACTGGCTTGTGTTGACTGATGTGACATTTTTGTCCACAAATACCTTCAGTTAAAGGTTTTGAAGATACTGTCATTCATATCTAGTCTCATCAATACTTAAGGTGACTCCAACACCTTTGACACTCTCAACATGAGGTTATCAAGTCACATTACTTTTAATGGATGGCATCTCTCTCTTTTTTTTTAAAGATTTTATTTATTTATTTGATAGAGAGAGACACAGCGAGAGAGGGAACACAAGCAGGGGGAGTGGGAGAGGGAGAAGCAGGCTTCCTGCAGAGAGCCCGATGTGGGGCTTGATCCTAGGACCCTGGGATCATGACCTGAGCCGAAGGCACATGCCCAACGACTGAGCCACCCAGGCGCCCCCTGGATGGCATCTCTTCTATTCACAGTTTACTTCTCCATGATCACTAACACAATTCAGTATTTGTCAGCTTTTTCCTGAATTATAAACTTCCGGGAAACAGCTTATAGAAAAGAGAATTGTTTGTATAAAAGAATAAAATAATAAAGTTGGGATGAAGAACTCAATAACTAAAATGCAGAACAAATTAAACTGTATAACAGCAATGTTTGGGAAAGTGTTGTACAGAATATTCTCTCCATGTAGAACATAGTATGTGATGTGATGTACCGTGAACCTACTTTGGGAAGAGTTTTGGATTAGCATCAAGTTAGCTTACACTTAATGACTCTTTGGGTCATCCAAGGGTTAAGGACAAAGGAGGCACTCCATTTTATTTACATTGTGTTTAACAGTCTATTATTCATTTCCATTAGGATTACTTAAGGAACTATGCATCTTTTTCTACATTTAGGCTTCGTTAAATCTGGGAATTATTACCTGTTTTGGCTGAAAACTCATTATTGGCCATTATCACTGAGGTCCAGTAACAGACTTCCTGGTTAGTAAATGATGTAGACTGATCTAATGATTAATTGCTTTAATGTTTATGCAACACCTACATGTCCCCATTTCCTCAAATTCTTCATATCTCATATACTGATTTGGCTAATGGGAGTGAGAGGCAGGTAACTATTTTCCAACGATTATTCTGTTGTACTCTGAGATGCTTGGAAAATGATCAGGATCAGGATGATTGGGGCTTTTTACTATATAAGATACTTTCAGAGTTCTAACATTTAATCCAAATAAAAACATTACCACACTGTATGTATAACAGTCCATCACCACCAAGCCAGATGGAACTAGCAATCTTTTAAAATGGTACAGTAACTTTAACCTCCTTCATTTCTTTCGTTTAGTAGCTTTCCAGCACATCACATGTATCCAATTGCCTGAACAACCAACTTCCCAAGACAAGACACATTAGACTTTACTAAATAAGTCTCATTAGTTTTAAGAAAAAGACAACATAGTTTTGAAATTTGACATTCCATGTGGTAGTGAGGTAATGTGTTCCTTATTTTGTTCATATCTTCTTGTGGAGCTTTAAAATACAATCAAACATGTTTTGGGGATACAATTTTAACACCTTTTCCCTTCTCAATTCTTTTGAGGGATTTTTTTTTTTCAAAATGAAAATTAGCATCCTGCCATTTCTAATATAATATAGACTTGTTTTTCAAAGTTAGAAAATATAGAAATAAGGAAAAGAAAGCTAAAAACGTCTGTCATCTTTTTGGTTTTAACAAAAATGTGATGACAATTTATATGCTGTTTTATAACCTTTTCTTCCCCCAAGAATATAAATCTTCATTATCATTTCTGATAGCTGCATAGTTTTTGATTATATGGAGATAAGTTAATTTGATAGATCTCTGATAGACATTTGAGATTTATTCAATGTTAAATTTATTGCTAAATATGTTATGGCAACAAATATTCTTGTAAATATTCCAGAGTCCTTGTTTACAGTCCCTATATGCTGCTTCTCAGGATAATATAAAGAATTACCAGATTTCTTAATTCATTTTCCAAATGAACTTATGAGGTTTTTAAAACCTTGACTTTTACAAAGGTTCATGCTGCTGAACAGAAGGGATACGGAGATTCAATTGAGGAAATGGGAAATTAGGCTAAATATAACTTATCTTGAGATGGTCCTTCCCTCAAAACACTTGGCAAATCAGTCCAAGTGCAATGGAACTATTTTACTGACACCAGAAATTTCTGAGTCTGAAACAAAACAAGAAGGCACTCAAAATGATCAGATTTGATGAGCAGTAACAGGTTGATCGCTAAAAATAAGTTAGTCCTTGCTGTTTATTTATTGAGCTTTTCAATTTTGCTTGGAGTAAAGCCGCAACAGAAACGAGAGCAGAATGATTTTTCCTTCTCCTTACCCATACCCTTTGGTACCTGCAACTGCCTTTTTCTTATCTTTTCTGAATCTTCTTTAAACGCACTCCTAAACAAACAAAGAAGGTATGGGACTCTTGGAAAGATGAGAGAAAGGAAGAGAAATAAAATTACTAAGTTTAGGTCAAGTAAAACAGCGTTTATAGTTTTATTCATTGAAATGCCTTCTGTTAAGTTTAAAATATGT